GCAGCCCAGCTGGTAGCCTAGCATACGATTCAAGAAAAAAGAAAAAAAAAATGATGATATCTATGCATAATATGCATGTACGATAAACAACCGACAACATGTTGTGCATGTCGTTATGCTCTCGTATGTTCTCGCCTTTCGTTTTTTTTTTTTTTGGTTTCCTTTTTTGAATCGCATGTCCTTCTCTCCGTCCAGATACAGAATAATATTTCCAATCGTCAACGAGATTACTGTGATCCATCTTCTTTCATTCCATGAGAAAAATCCAATTATATATATATGTAAAAAGGGGGATGCTACCACACTGCAGCAGGCACTAATCAAAATCTGAGGGCATCATTTCACATCCAATCACCCTCGATAGTCGGATCTCTTCTTCATTTATGACCGTAGATTACGCAGATCAGATCCAAGGACAGAAGTAAAATTACGCAGACAAAAAAAAAAAAAAAAGACGTAGATTACGGAGGTTGACTGACAGGTGGGAGACAACTCAGCAGATTATCATCAAAGGCTGATAGCCAGACAATGACACAACCAAGTAGTCGTAGTACATTCAAGTACAAAAAAGAAAGTTGAGTTGCAAAGCCGGTGGGTATGGCTACCCCGACCGGTTTCGACTGCCGCCACGTAGTCTCATCAGGGGGCTAACCGCCGAAAACTTCTCCCTTCTTCATGCCCACGCTTTACCACATTCCCAGCTCCATTGTTGACTCGTCTGCGTTTGCATCCGAGCTAACGTTGTCGGACCCGAAAAAGACCAAAGGCTTAGCACTCTTTCCTTTTATGGTCCTCCTATCGCCTAACAGGTAACTACCCGAACACCAATTCTAAGTTCGAACTTCAAAAGTCCCAATTCGAAAAGTCACAAAAGGTCCCAAAAAATCGGTCCACACCAGTTCAAGGTACCTGCAGTTATTCAGGTTTCGGCRGAAGGGCACCAGACCCTCTGCTAAATCCACGGCCTCTCTCGCGGAAAACAAAAGRAAAAAGTGTAGAAAAGCAAAAAATCACAAAACARMGAAAAATCYGAAAGCTACTCACTAAAGGACCCCAAAGCTGCAGTTACAGAAAAAACATCAACTCTCCAAAATTCAGACAGCTACTCACCCACGGCCACACTCTACAGATCCAAACACACTCAACGGGGCTACCGTTCATCGCCCTGTCCCAGCATTTGTGATTCCCCTGTCCCAGCAGCCTAGATTAGAAGCAGCTTAAATTATGGCGACAGGCAAACCGAAACCACAATCAGAACACCAAACGGGTTTTTCGACAAAAAACGAGAGTCAAAACAAAAACTGAAACACACAGCACAAAAAGACTGAAATAAAGTCCCACCACTAGCAGACATTGACCGATCAGGGGTACAACTATCTCCAGATCCTGGTCCAAATTTCATCCCGACCACGTGCAAAGCTTCTCAGTACCCTGTCAATGAAATCCTTGGGGAAATCCCTCAGACGAAGTTCCCTTGATAGAGTCAGCACCTTCATCGGAATCTCGCTGCGCATGGTAGTGTTCTTGTCAGGTAACTGGCAACAACAGCACTCTTCTGCATCTTGCTTCCCCAAAAGTAATATGACTGTCCGTTCTTAAACTCCAGATTTTCCTCGGACCAAATAGTCTTCTCGTTCTTAGACTGCTGTACACAGCCAATACGCAAACAGGACTGATCGAGATCCATCTGAAGCCCCAAAAACTCCCACTGGTCAGCTCCATTGTCGGTACGTTTGAGCGTCAAATTCTTGGGGTAGCAGTTTTCAAATTCTCCACGAATACTCTCCACCAGCTCACCACTCTTTTGATTCTTCATAACTACTAAACTCATGTCATCCATCAATCTCAGTCCAAAAACATAGGGTCTCAAATTCCCCAACTCGTTAAGAAACCGAAATTCCGCATATGCACAAAGGATACATGCAAGTGGGGGGCTGGTGCTTTTCCCCATTGGGATTCCCACCACTTCCTTCAGCAGTGTACGTGTGTTGCAAGTCGAGCTTGACAAAAGCTCTGATAGTTTTCAATTCCACCTTTCTCCAATGGTCCTCCCCGGTGGTCAAACCAAACGTAGTGCCCCTACCTCTGGGGTTAACTCGGACGTAGTGTCGGCCTTTCCCTTCATGATAATCAAGCAGCCAGTTAGTAGCAGCCATGATGTCCTCGTGCGGGAGCTTACTGAACATGTCTTTAATGTCAAAAGCCATTGAGACAAGTTCAGCGCCCGCCTTCGCTATCTTCGCAATTCTTCGATTAAGAGACTCGAGTCGTGGAGCCAAGTCATTGACTGACCTTAGGTTAAAGTGCCAATCCTGAGGGAGCGTGAAAAGTAGGTGGTTAAGGGCTTTCGCCACGCATCTCCCAGCTCGCACTGTTGGTTCAGAGAACGTAGGGCATATCGGTCGGTATCTCGATATGTCCTTGTGTTTTGGGAGAGCATAAGCATCGCCCATTCTCCCCTTGCTGTTCCAACCACCAAATCGCTGTAGGCCCACTTTCTTCAAATCCATCCTCATGGTATTCAGTACTTCAGCTTCCGATCTGACTTCCACAGTGTACCCGGGACTCTGGATAAACAGACTCAACATGGCATCATAGTAGACAAAAGGGCACAGTACTAACGTTTCACCCGAATTACGGTCAAGTGGCGTCAACACATATCCATCCAAAGGCCTTTTTACCGTTTCCACATCAGACAATTTCAAATAGCACTTCACAGGTTCAGGGTTACGAATCAAGCACTGATCAACTTCCTCGCGGCTAAATTTAGCCGCATTCCCTCGACAATTACTCCAGCGGTTGAAGGCCTCAGACAACTCCTTCGACAACAGAAAAACCCTTTCGCCAACTGCGGGTCTAGGAATGTTGTTAGCATTCCAGATCAGCGGGTGAACATCTTCCAATTCCTGTCATCTAAACTGCACGTGTCCTCCTATCTTCGGATAGGGAGCATCTGCACAAATGCAGATCGACACATCAGCGCGGGCAAAGCAACGCTAATTATGCAAGATGTTCGCTACCGACGGGTTTTTAACCCATACGATGCGAACAGAGCTACACGCCAAGTTTTTAATACAGGCAAGCAAGTCCAATTCCAACAATCTGTCGTTAATCAGTTTTCGTATCTCAACCAGTTTTATCTTGTCATCGAATTTAAGCTTGACTACCAAACGACCGTTTAGGTGCCAACCATATACATCCTTCGCGGTCCGAGTAATCAGCCTACGTAAGTACGCTGTGGTCGACTGCTTCTCAAAATCATTTGCTGTGCCCAAAAGTCTGACCAAACCCTCCAAACTACATTCACCCAGGAATTTAAGTCTGCGGGGATTACGTAATAGTGAGATAAGCAACTTCTTATCTATGCTCAGTCTAGGTTTCCATCTACATAAATAAATGATTTCCACCTCTCCGCCTTCTTCCAAATTGCGTTTGCAGGCATGGAGCTTCGCCCGATGTCCATTAATTCTGCCGATACTATTACCGAAAGCCTTACGGATCGGTTTCCAACCTCCACACCATGCATTACCTGGAAGTAAATCGAAATTTCAGAGTACCACCTTCTTGCTGTCGGCATAACAATTCAAGAATGCTCACCGTCCATTCCTCCGTATCTCATACACGCGCTTTTACATGCTGAATTCCTATCGGTTCCTTGCATTTCTCAGTTAGCTTGTTACCTCGCCCCCTCTTATTCTTTCCTATCCTCTTACGTCCCCCTCTCTGCTTCTTCTTTGGTAGTCTACCAGTAGTGTTAAGTATTGGAGACCATCGCAGAATAAACAGCCTTTCCACATTTGGCAACTCCTCCGCTTTACAAGTTTCGACCGACAAAAGTAAATATGACTCATGACCAAAAACTCCCCACCAACGATACAGATGGTTGCGTTTTCGGCCCCGGCTACATACTGAAACATGTTCTTTCCAACGTACCTCGCCATTCCTGGAAGTCTGGCCTACATATTGAGCTCTACAAACCGGCGACGTGAGGACATAGACGCAGCTAGGTATACTAGTGAAGATAGCGATTCCTGGCAGACTGTACAGTCTAACCCAAGAGTCAACGCATTTTTTCAACCAGCGGATTTGGTCATTCAATGCCAACAAGATTACAACAAATCGATACACAATATCAAGATCATTGTCGTTCAATCCCTTAACCCTGAGACCAATTATGCAGCGACAGATCGCCCATAATTCCTTATTCGTCCATCCTCGTCAGTTCTCACCTGTAGCAGCGTCGTCATCAGTGGTCGCCGTTTGGTCTTCTTCATATGTAGTTTTTGTATTCACCTCCTCAGGAGCTTCGTCGTCCGCTGATCCGTAAGCCTCATGCGTTCTCTTTTCAGTGATAGCCAGGATGGTGTTCATTTTCTTCAATCCTTTGTACGCCACGTTTTCATCTCGGCAGATCTTCTTCAGATCCTCCACGGTCAGTTCTCCCAACTCCCGGAGGTTATCTTTCATATACCGAACTCGGCCCATAGGGCCGATAGTAGCCGGTATCTTCCTCACCTTCTTCGCTGAGGTCTTTCTCGGAGTCTTCCTCGTTGGCGAGTTCTTCATAGGGATCGGTTTACAGCCCAGCAGCCGTCCCGTCGTTCTTGCATAACTCCCTCCTGGCTTCTTCGAGGTGCGCTTGGCACGCGATTCCATTGGCGGGCTGTCACCAATCGCTTTCTCAGGTCCACGTCGTCTCTTCCCTCCAATAGTTAGGTGTCCGGTCTTCTCACTAAGAGCTTCAACTTCACTCTCGGATGACTCGTACTCATCATCGGATGATTGTCCAGTGCTGGGCGATTGCTTTTTAGCCTTTCCCTTAAGCTTGGCTAGCTCCTCCAGGCATCTGCCCATATGGTACTTGAGCTCTTCTCGCAAACCACCCATGTGCACCGATACTGTGGAGATCACCTCTTTTTTCATCTGTTCCTTCTGTTCCGCCAACCTCATCGTTTCCTTCTTCTTCTCGTTTTCACGACGTTCAGCCTCAAGCTTCTTCTCCATTTCCAAATGTTCCGCCTCCGCTTTTGCTTCCTCTTCATGCTTCCTACGCTCCGCCTTTTCCTGTTTTCGCCTCTCCTTCTCCTCCCTTCTTGCATTCTCTCTTTCGACGAATTCTTTCATCGTAGCGACAATACTTGATAGATCCTCAAATTGCTTCTTCAGTACAGGTTCATCACAAGTCGGTCTCCTATCTGGATGTCTTGGATAGTTCCTTGGTGATGTCGATCGACCCCGTGATGGGAATCGGGAACTGCCCTCACCACTAAGCCGCGGACATTGATTGCGATAGTGCCCGAGCTCTCCGCACTCGTAGCAAACGGGAACAAAACGTTTTGGTGGCTCTCTTGAGGATGCTCGGCGCTCCCTACCGTACTTCGGTCTTTGGTCCAATCTATCATCACGTCCTCTGTCTTGATCTTCATTGCGGATAGCTTCTCGGCGTCGGTCTCGATCTCCATCCCGTCCATATTCTCGGTAACTTCCTGACATGATGCTGGTACACCTCCCAGCGCAGCTTGATACCTCCTTTCACAATCAAACTTCAGTAACAGATTGATAGTAACCAGGAAACAACTCTACATGCTCACACACACTCAGCAAACTTTCCAAGTTGGTTCACATGGGCATTAGCAGGTTGACTGACAAGTGGGAGACAACTCAGCAGATTATCATCAAAGGCTGATAGCCAGACAATGACACAACCAAGTAGTCGTAGTACATTCAAGTACAGAAAAGAAAGTTGAGTTGCAAAGCCGGTGAGTATGGCTACCCCGATGGGTTTTGACTGCCGCCACGCAGTCTCATCAGGGGGCTAACCGCCGAAAACTTCTCCCTTCTTCATGCCCACGCTTTACCACATTCCCACCTCCATCGTTGACTCGTCTGCGTTTGCATCYGAGCTAACGTTGTCGGACCCGAAAAAGACCAAAGGCTTAGCACTCTTTCCTTTTATGGTCCTCCTATCGCCTAACAGGTAACTACCCGGACACCAATTCTAAGTTCGAACTTCAAAAGTCCCAATTCGAAAAGGTTGCAGTTATTCAGGTTTCGGCGGAAGGGCACCAGACCCTTTGCTAAATCCACGGCCTCTCTCGCGGAAAACAAAAGGAAAAAGTGTAGAAAAGCAAAAAATCACAAAACAGAGAAAAATCCGAAAGCTACTCACTAAAGGAGCCCAAAGCTGCAGTTACAGAAAAAACATCAACTCTCCAAAATTCAGACAGCTACTCACCCACGGCCACACTCTACAGATCCAAACACACTCAACAGGGCTACCGTTCAGATCCAAGGACAAAATTAAAGTAACACAGATTACCAAAAAAAAAAAAAAAAGGTAGATTACGCAGATTAAATCCAAGGACAAAACGCGACTTGTACTCACCCCTGTACGAGTACGAGTCGTACTCATTTCTCGTACGCTATTCGTACTCAAGGCCCCGTACGACTTTTTAATTTTTTTTTTACTGTTTTTATTTTTTTCCCTCCAATTGTAATAAGAATCTGCATATGGTGCTCAGGCAAATGTTGCTTGTTTTGGGATGTTACAGCACATATTTCTTTTTCGGATTTTTTGGATGACTTTTTTTTTTCCCCCTACAGGTCGTAGGGGGCGTACAGGTTCCCGTACAGATATTACCTGTACGTTTTGTACAGAAAGGCCCCGTACGTGTACGTTCAGTAACGTAGGACAAAAGTAATATTACGCAGATTAAAATATATAAAAAATCGTAGATTACGCAGATCAGATCCAAGGACAGAAGTAAAATTACATAGATTAAAAAATAATACACAAGGATTCTTAGTCCTTTGCTCTCACCAACTGAGCTACCTAAACAAAAACAAAATCAAACTATGTTCAATTCAGAAAAGGTAATTCAACGTAAAAAAAAAAAGAAAAAAAAAAAAAGAAAAAAAAAAGGTAATTCAAAGATTACTAAGTCCAAAGGCACATTTTGATAATCATACACCTACTTCAGACTTTCAGCCATATCTGTACGGATTACGAAATGAAATATCTATTATTGATTTAGAAAGAACACTTCTTTTTTTTTTTTTTTTTTGTAACCCAGGACTGTTTAGGAAGAGCTTGTAATTTCATTGAGTATATAATTCGTTCAAATGGTCATATATTGTTTGTAAATACTAATCCACAAAAAAAGAAAGAAAAAAGACGCAGATCAGATCCAAGGCCAACCCTAGATTATGCAGATCGGATCCAAAATCTGAACCGTGGATCATCAGTAGCTTTCGTCTCGGCTATGTGTCAAAATAGATAGAAGACAAGCAATGGCCAATTGCCTTTTACAGGCAAATCAGTATATTGCAAAGACGAATCAGCGTGTACACATGTCAAAAGAAGGAAAAAAAAAAAAAAAAAGATTACGCAGATCAGATGAAAAATGCAGACCGTTGATTGCTCAGATCAGATCGAGATGGGAACCCTCGTGACGGTTGGTGGTGGTCGATTTGCCATTGAATTTTTTTTGAAGTTTAATT